AACTCCCCATACTCCTTTAGACTCTTCATTAAATTTGGGAGTGTTATCCTGGGGTTTACCACATAGAACAGCAGGTCGTCTGCAAAGCCTGCCACTTTGTGTTCAATTCCTCCTATCTGTATTCCTTTTATATCTATATTTTTCCTAATTGTTGCCAGTAAAGGTTCCGATGTCAATACATATAACAATGGGGACAGTGGGCATCCCTGTCTTGTTCCATTTGCCATCCCAATAGGTGCCGACCTCACTAGGTTAAACCAAAATAACCGCGGAGGGCTCTCTATACAATTTACCTATCCACTCTCTCATTCTAAACTCCCAGTCCTAATGTCTCCAGAGTGTCCATCATAAAGCTCCAGTCTACTCTATCGAATGCCTTTTCTGCATCGATTGAAAGCACCACCGTCGGAGCCTTCCCCTTCCTAACTTTCTAAATAAGCAACAGAGTTCTCAACCCATTGTCTCTACCTTCTCTCCCCGGTACAAATCCCACCTGGTCCCCTTGGATCCACTCTGGCATTAAATCTTTCAACCTATTTGCTAAAACCTTTGCATATAATTTAGTGTCTGTGTTCAAAAGTGAAATTGGTCTATAACTAGAACACTGAGAAGCATCCTTCCCTTCCTTTTGGATAAGCACCACATGGGCCTGTAAAGATTCTTGGCTCTTCTCCATCTCCCCACCCAGGGCGGTCATATATTTCTTCAATTTAGGTATTAACAGTTCGCTGTATTTTTTATAATACCTCACGGTATAACCATCTGGGCCCGGGCTTTTCCCGTCATGGTACTTTTTAATGCTATTTTTATTTCCTCCTGCGTAATTTCTAAATCAAGGGAATCCAGTTGTTCTTTGCTTAGCTTCGGTAGTCCTGTGTTTTTTTAAATATACCCTTCTTTTTTCTCTACTCATATTTTCCACTTTTATTTACTGAATCCTGGGGGGTAATATTATACAGCTTGCTATAATATTCCTTAAACACCCTAGCGATCTCTTTAGTCGAATAAACCATTTCTCCCTTAGGGTTTCTTATTTTTCCTATATATTTCCTGTTTTGATTTTTTCCTCAAGGGTCTCATTAAATATGTTTCTGGTCTATCTCCCCATCTATATCTCTCACTTAAAAGTATAAAAGAATGTCCTCCTGCGCTCCACAGAGCACCTAATTCTAATGCCAGCTGCTAACACCTATTCCCTATACCACAGGACAATGAAATATATAACACAATTGGATGAAGCGCTCAGCATGAAAATAAATCTACACTAAAATACCCATTAAAATAGTAAATAATCAATAATAAAAATACAATATATAAGGCCAAACTAATAATGTCAAAGTGACTAAGTGCTCATATATAATGACCAAAATAAATGGAATATCATAAATGTGAAGGACGAGCTCCTGATCTGCCACCCAATGGCAAACCAGATAGGTGAAAAATGATAAGTAATATCACTCAAGGCAATTCAAAGTGCAAGTGCTCAAATACATATATAAAATAAATATATCATAAATACATACATGTGAGAAAACAAACTCCTGGTCTGCCCCCCCAGTGGCTAACCAGATAAATAATAAAGTGATATCACTCCAAACAATTCAAAGTGACAAATGCTCAAATATATATTTAAAATATATATAAAAATTGAGCCTAGAGAGAGGGGGCGCCAGTGAGGGAAAAGAAATTGGCAGTCATGTTCCCCCAGCCACAGCACACTGCCAAGTTGGGTCCAGTAATGAGGAGGATGGGGATGATGAGGTCACTGACTGTACTTGGGTGAGAGAACAGAGGAGGACAGTGAGGAGGAGGCAGAACTCAAACGAGGCAGGATGTCCTCCAGGGACAGGTGTAAGGACAGCCAACCGATGGCATCACATGACAGAGCTCCTCAGGGGCGGGGCACTGCTGACTCCATGCAGACTTCCACAAGTTCTCTGCTGTGGGCTTATCCCAACACATGTGCAGCAGACCGCAGCATTGCTATTTGTAGTCTCTGTCTGAAGCAGATCAAGCGTGGCCAAAACACCAGCCGCTTGGGCACCACATGCTGGACCAGACATATGACGAGCCGCCATGCAACCCATTGGTAACAGCACCTGAAAGGCCCACATCCGAAAACAGTGCAGACTTCTTCTTGGTCCTCATCTGGGATCTCTACCTCCTCTGTAAAACATCCGGTCTTCTCAACAGCCTCCACTGAGAGGAGTGATGGTACAGCAATGGGTGCCACAGGTCCTGCACCCCATCTGATAGCAGTACACCACCTGATCATTTCAGCAGGAACATTTCACTACCCCATTTGCTGAACCGTGAAAAAAAAAATACTGTCCCACCCATCCACATGTCCCGCCCATCCACATGCCCCGCCCCCATCCACACATGTCCCCCCATCCACATGTCCCACACATCCACATGTCCCAGCCATCCACATGCCCCACCCATCCACATGTCCCAGCCATCCACATGTCCCATGGGCTCACTGACTCTGCAAAGCCTGCATAAGGGCCTGAGGATTCGTGGTATCAAGGAGATGGATCAGTACTGGTTGGCAACCCCTCTTGATCCACGTTACAAGGGTGAAGTTGCAGAGCTCATCCAGTCTTCACAGAGGGAGCAGAGGATGAAACATCTTGAGGACGCCATGAAAAAACATTTGTGTAGAACCTTTCCAGACAATGGGAGGTTACCATTTCCTGGACAACGTGTTTTCTGAGGCTTTGTTCTGTCAAAGGAAGAGTGGTGGAGAAGGTGGCCGGCTGACTGATGCCTTTAAAAAGTTATTTAGTCCTCAGTGCCCAGGGATGTTAGGTTTAAGCACCCATCGGCAGGGTCTGCATCATATGGTGCAGGATTATCTAGGGACAAGAGCAGACTTGGAGACCTTTCCAGCTGAACATCCACTGGGTTACTGGGTCTTGAGGATGGATCACTGGCCAGAACTTGCTCAATATGCCATCCAGCTACTGACCTGTCCTTCACCCAGCGTGCTTTCCGAACGGACATTCAGTGCTGCTGGAGGTTTTTGTGACGGATAAAAGAGTGCGTCTGTCCACAGACTCCGCTGACCAGCTGACATTTTATCAACATGAATCAGACCTGGATCAACAGCAACTATCTTGTCCCTGATGCTGATGTAACTGATTCCATTTGTTAGGGATCTGGGATCCCTTGAAGACTGCCTATGCTGCCTATCCTATTCCTCAGTCCTGATTATGGTCGCTTCCAACTATTTGTTTGGTTTAGGGCCCCACCAACACTCAAGGCATACTTTTTTGGCCCCCGTTTCACAGGTGCATGTCATTTCAATGTTTGATTTTTTTTTTTTACCATCTTTCTGTAATTGTTACTAATTTTTAACTGCGGGGCCCCTGCCTGCGCCCAGCAAGAGTGACTGCGAGGGGATACAGTGTTCAGGCACCACCAACACCCAAGGACCAATTTTATTTATTTTGTACCCCTTACTCATTCACAAGGGGGCAGCATCAGGGTGCCCCCTTATTTAAAGGGGTACCCTGATGCTAATGAGCCCCCTGCCCGCAGACCCCCACAACCAGGGCTTTGGGATAGAGGCCCTTGTCTCCATGCTGAGGGCATGTGGCCTGGTAAGGCCCAGGGAGGGCAGGGCCACTTTTTCATCCCCCCCTTTCAGGCCTACCAGGCCTGTGCTCGGATCAAGGGTCTGGTAGGAAGTTAGGGGGGACCCCACACTTTTTTCATCTATTTTTTTGAGGTGGGGTTCTCCTTAGAAGGCCTATCAGGTCTAAAGGGCCTGGTTTGGCTTTTAGGGGGAACCCCAAGCACTTTAAAAAAAAATGTCACTGTGGGGTCCCTCCTAACCTTCCCACCGGACCTAAAGGGTCTGTTATGGATTGGGGGACCCCACACAGCTTTTTTTTTTAAATATAAATGTCAGTCGTGCTGCAGCAGGTCCTATACATTGTACAGATGTGCAACTTTGCAGGAGAGTTTTTATGGGGAACCCCCAGGAATGATAATTACATTTTTCTTTTTTTATGATTCCTGTCCCTCAGGGCCGTCCCCGAGTCCCCATACCACTTCTGGGGCCAATAACTGGCATAAAAGCCTTCAGAATGGTCACTTTTCCATTTACAAGTTCCAGTCCCATAGACTTGCATTGAGTTCGAAGTTTGCGGTTGAACTTTCGTCAAGTTGGAATGTTGGACCGCGAACTGAAGAGGGGGGTGTTGGACCCGTCACTACTTATTACATGTCTGTGTCCTTCTGTAGAAGAATTCTTCTAGCTACGTGTCTCAGTCCCAGCCTCTCCCTGTGTAGGAATGTACACCTCGCCCCGTGTAGGAGTGTACAGAACGGGTCACATTGGATACGGAGTGTCAGAGACTTTCCCTGTCATTCTGTCTTCTGCTCTCAGCGATGGCGTCTTCTGATCTGAGGAAGGAGCTGGAATGTTCCATCTGTCTGAACATTTATACAGATCCTGTAACCCTGAAATGTGGACACAACTTCTGCCGGGACTGTATTGGCCGTGTGTTGGATACACAGGAGGGGTCTGGAGGTTATTCCCGTCCTAAATACAGAGAAGAGTTCCAGGAACGTCCTGCACTGAGGAGGAACATAACACAACGTAACATAGTGGAGAACTTCCAGTCTACCCATCCAGAGCAGGAGGAGTCCGGGGTCTTCTGTACTCACTGTATTCACACTCCTGTACCGGCTGTGAAATCCTGTCTGCATTGTGAAGCTTCTCTGTGTGACAACCACCTGAGAGTCCACAGCAAGTCACCAGAACACGTCCTATGTGACCCCACCACTTCCCTGAAGGACAGGAGATGCTCCATCCATAAGAAGATCCTGGAGATATTACTGCACCAAGGACTCCACGTGTATCTGTGTGTCCTGCAGGCTGGATGGAGAACATCAGGGACACCAGGTGGAGACTCTGGAGGAGGTCTCTGAGATGAAGAAGAAGAAACTGAGGAATGTTCTGCAGAAACTGATGACCGAGAGAGAGGAGACGGAGAAAAGAGTCCAGAGTCTGCAGGAACGCAGGAGGAAAGTACAAGGAAAAGCAGATGATGAAACCAAGAGAGTCACTGACCTGTTCAGAGAGACCTCAGGAGACGTCTAGATGACTTGGAGAAGAGAGTCCTGAGGGACATCTCCGGGTGGGCAGAGCGGGTCTCCCGTCCCATGTTGGATTATATTCGGGATCTGGAAATAAAGAAGGAGGAGCTGTCCAGGAAGATGAGGGACATTGAGGAGCTGTGTAACATGACGGATCCACTGACTGTCCTACAGGAATCAGACACAGGTGACTTGTGTGATACTGAGGATGGAGATGATGAGGACAGAGAGAGACATGAGAACCTCCTCCATGATGGAGGGGATGGGGATGTGGGGGGGATCTCACACACATTACACACGGGTTTATCTGATATCATGTCTGGGGTCAATGTACAGAAATGTACAGGCACACATGTCTCTCCACATTCTACTACAAAGGGCAAAGGTCCCATCAATGGTCCACCATCCAGGAAACGCCTCAAACCCTCCCCCACTGGAGGACCAAATATTGGGGCTGTACAGCAAACATTGGGGGGTGTCGGGGGTTACAGACATATTACTGGATGTGAGGACAGCTGGTAATCGTCTACATATATCAGATGACGGGAAAACTGCATCCTCATCATCACATCAGAATCGGCCAGAAACACCAGAGAGGTTCCAGGGTCCTCAGGTGATGAGCAGTCAGAGCTTCTCCTCCGGGAGACATTACTGGGAAGTGGATGTCGGGGGGGCAAAGTACTGGACAGTCGGGATGTGTTACCCCAATATAGACAGGAGAGGAGGTCAGTCAGGGATTGGATATAATAAGAAGTCCTGGGGGTTGATGAGGGGGAGGTTGGAGGGGTTGGGGGGTAATCAGTACTCAGTGGTACATGACAGTAATAGGACCCCATTCCCCGGCGGTGTCTCCAGTACCAGAGTCAGGATAGATCTGGATTATGAGGCCGGGCGGATCTCCTTCTATGATCTGTGTGACCCGATCCGACACCTCCACACCTTCACCACCACCTTCACTCAGCCCCTCCATGTCGGGGTAGGTGCAGGGGGAGGTTGTATAAAGAAATGTGGGAGGAGCCAGAAGTGAGAGATCCGCCCAGAGACATCACAAGGGGGGGTGATCTGATTGGTGATTGGTGCAATATTCAGCCAATAGGAGGAAGGGCAGGAAACAGGAGTGATTTGTGGAGAAAGCTGCAGGTTCCGGGGCCGTCATCTTCATCCTAAACCTCACTTCACTCCCTAGTGTGTCACTGACCAGGAACAAGCATGCAGGAGGTCCGAGTGTTCCGCCTTCACTGGCTGCATGCTTGTCACACTTATTTTTGACAGTGGCAATAAATGGCAATTGAAAAATTAGGGTTTTTATGACAATTAAAAAATGACAGTTATTTATGTTAAGATGAAAAAAGACAGTTGATTTATGACAGTGCAAACAAATGACAGCTTAAAAAAGATGACAGATGAAAAGTGCCATTTTTTTTTTTCAGTTGAAAAATTAAAAATTTTTTGGTCATTTAAAAAAATGACAGTTACCGTATTTTTCGCACCATAAGACGCACTTTTATCCCCCCCAAAAAGGGGGGAAAATGTCAGTGCGTCTTATGGAGCGAATGTAAAGCGGCCGGTCCGGTATTTCTGCCGCCACCATGTCAGAATACCGGGCCGGCCGCTCAGCTGTTCTCTCCTGCAGGGCCTTACCTGTTCCTCGCTCCAGCGCTGCACAGTCTTCCCGCGCTGGCTTCTGTGACAGCCGGGTGCCCACTGCGCATGTGCTGCGCTTTGTGAATGATCCGGTGTCTTCTGGGACACATGAAAGGTCACAGAAGGCGCCGGGCCATTCACAAAGCGAAGCGCTTCTTGCACCTGCGCAGTGGGCACCCGGCTGTCACAGAAGCCGGCCCGGGAAGAAGAGGGAAGGCAACTCCGCGGAAGTGGGAGCGGGTACCTGTCAAATTCAGGTACCCGCTCCCCCTCCCTCCCCAAAGGTCTGCAGTCTCTGGTCATCCCCCTTCACTGTCTGCAGTCTCCGGTCATCTCCTGTACTGTGTCCGCAGTCTCTGGTCATCTCCTGTACTGTGTCCGCAGTCTCTGGTCATCTCCTGTACTGTGTCCGCAGTCTCTGGTCATCTCCTGTACTGTGTCCGCAGTCTCTGGTCATCTCCTGTACTGTGTCCGCAGTCTCTGGTCATCTCCTGTACTGTGTCCGCAGTCTCTGGTCATCTCCTGTACTGTGTCCGCAGTCTCTGGTCATCTCCTGTACTGTGTCCGCAGTCTCTTGGTCATCCCCCTGTACTTTGTCCGCAGTCTCTGGTCATCTCCTGTACTATGTCTGCAGTCTCTGGTCATCTCCTGTTCTGTGTCCGCAGTCTCTGGTCATCCCCTGTACTATGTCTGCAGTCCATTGGTTTCAGAATATTTTTTTTTCTTGTTTTTCACCTCTAAAACCTAGGTGCGTCTTATGGAGCGAAAAATACGGTATTTTTTTCATTTGAAAATGACAGTTATATTTAACAGTGGCAAAAAATGGCAATTGAAAAATTATGGTTTTATTGACAATTTAAAAATGACAGTTATTTTTTGTCATAAAATCGAGTTGTTTTTGACAGTTGAAAAATGACAGATATTTTGTCAGTTGATAATTATTTTTCACCACTGAAATAAGTTCTTTTTTTGACAGTTGAAAAATTACAACTTTTTTTGACAGAGGCAACAAATGAGTTATTTTTGACAATTAAAAATGAGGATTTTTTTTGTCTGTTGAAAAATGACAGTGTTTTTTCACAGTGGCAAAAAAAAATCCAATTGAAAAATTAGGGTTTTTTAAACATTTTAAAAATTACTTTTTTGTCAGTTAAAATTTTATTTTTGAAAAACTGTTATATTTAACAGTAGAACAATTATTTATTTTTGACAGTGGAAAAAATGGCAATTGAAAAATTAGGTTTTTTTTGACAGTTGAAAAATTTGTTGTAAAAAATAACTAATTTTTCAACTGACAAAAAATAACTAATTTTTTAAAATTACAAAAAAACAATCATTTTTTAGATGTGTAAAAAAATAACAAAATTTGCCACTGTCATTTTTCAACTGTCAAATATAACTTTCATTTTTCGACTGTTAAAAATAAATGTAATTTTTCAACTGTAAAAAAACCTCATTTTTCAATTGCCATTTTTTTCCACTGTCAAAAATCACCTGTCATTTTTTGCTACTGTATAAAATTACCTGTCATTTTTAGCTGTTGAAAAAAACCCTCTTTTTTTAAATGTGATTTTTTTTCACTGTCAAAAATGATCTGCATTTTATTGCCACTGTAAAAAAAAAAAAACTGTCATTTTCCAACTGTCAAATATAACTGTCGTTTTTCATCTGGTAAATGTAATTTTTTCAACTGTAAAAAAAAAAAAATTTTAATGACAAAAAATAACTGGCATTTTTCAACTATCAAAAAACCCCTCATTTTTCAACTGTCATTTTTTTTGCCACTGACAAAAAACGAATTTCTTGCCAAAATAAAAATATAACTATAATTTTTCAACTATGAAAAACACTCATTTTTCTTGTTCAAATATTTTATTGTTTTAACAGGAGAAAATAAATGGGACGTTGGAAGTATAAAGCATTTGTACAATAAAAATACCCATAAATACAATGTTAGGCATCAAGAACTGGCATCTGGCAACAGAAGCCTAATAGAAAAGGGGGTGGGGAAGGGAGGGGTGTGGAGAAGCTAGGGTGAGGGGGGGGTGGGAGAAGGGAGTGTTGGGGGGGTGGAGAAGGGAGGGAGGGGGGGGGAGGGTGGGAGGGGGGGGGGGGGGGGGGGGGGGGGGGGAGGGGGGGGGAGGGTGGGGGGGGGGGGTGGGGGGAAGGGGGGTGGGGGGGGTGGGGGGGGTGGAAGGAGGGTGAGGGGGGGATAAGGGAGGGGGAGGGGGTGGAGAGGGGGGGGTGAGGGGGGTGGGGAATGGAGAGTGGGGGGGGTGGGAAGGGAGGGGGGGAGGGGGGGGGGGAAGGGAGGGGGTGGGGGGGGGGGGGGGGGGGGAAGGGAGGGGGGAGAAGGGGGGCGAGGGGGGTGGAGAAGGGGGGAGGGTGGGGGGGGGGGGAGAAGGGGGGGGGGGGGGGGGGGGGAAGGGAGTGGGGGGGTGGAGAAGGGAAGGTGGGGGGAGGTGGAGAAGGGAGAGGAGGGGGGGGGGAGAAGGATGGGTGGGGGGAATGGAGGGTGGGGGGGTGGTGGGGGGGAGGGGGGGGGGGGGGGGGGGGGGGGGGGGTGGGGGGTGGGGAATGGAGGGGTGAGGGGGGGGGGAGAAGGGGGAGGGGGGGGCCTGATTGGCTGCCGTGGTAATTTGTAGAATGAGTGTGAATTGTACTTTTGGGACGTCTGGTGGTCGCAGGTCGAGCAGCACAACTAGTGGATTCGGTAGGAGGGTTGTGGCGCTAAGTGTGGATAGTATTTTAAAGACATCCACCCAGAAAACTTGGATGGTTGGACAATCCCACCATGTATGAAAACATGTGCCCAGGTCTGCGCAGCCTCTGAAACAAGCTGAGGGGTCATTGGGGGTATATTTGGCAATTCTAGCTGGGACTAGGTACCAGCGGGTCAGGACGTTGTAATTGGTCTCCAGGGTCACAATGTTTTGTGACGACTCTTTTGGTATTGGACCAAATGAGGTTCCAATCCGAAGGGTCGATTCGCCCGTCCAGGTCTGCTTCCCATTTATGCGTGTATGAGGACAACAATGCTGATGTTGAGGTCGTGAAGAGGGAGTATAAGTATGAGATGAGGGCCTCGTCTATGGGGGGTCTTTGTGGCATGCCCGCTCAAGAGGGGACAAAGAGGATACTGGATTGGCAGCTGTTGTGTATGGAGCGAAGAAATGTTCCAATTGCAGATACCGGAATAGCTCGGAGGTTGGGAGGTCATGGGATTCACATAATGAGGTAAAGGATCTACATTTATTCCTGAGCACGAAGTGGCGGGTCTGGGTAAGACCTGCTGTGGACCAGCCAATAAAGACGTGTGGTGAGGACCAGGCTGGGGGAAAGGCTGGATTTCGGAGGTATGAAAGAAGGGGATTGTGAGGTGATTGTAGGAGATAACAGGATTTCAATTTATCCCAGAGGAGCAAAAAGTGAGAGGTAATGGGGATTAGTAATGGTACGGCGGTCAACGGGCTTCCACCAGAGAAGGTTAGTTGTTGATCGGGGATCGCACTCAATGGATTCTAGAATAACCCACTGCGGGGTTTGGTAGGTAGCGGGATATTTAGGTAGTTGTGCTATGTGTGCCGCGTGGTAGTACTTGCTGATTTCTGGGAGGCCCAATCTGCCACTGAGTTTGGATCGATAGAGAGTAGAGCGAGGAACACGTGGGCGGACTTTGCCCCAGACATAGGAGAGAATGCGGCACTGCAAGGCACGAAGGTAGTGGGTGGGTACTGGGATAGGAAGAACTCTGAAGAGGTAAAGGGGATTTTGGGGAGGAGCTACATCTTCACAACTGCTATCCTGCCCAGCCAAGGTAGTGGGAAGGAGGAGCATTCAGTCATAAGTGTCATCAGGTGAGCTAACATGGGGGATGTAGTTGGTGGCATAGAGGCCTTAGATATGCGGGGTGAGTTTTATGCCCAAAAAGGGAACAGAGCCTTGCGACCATGTGAATGGCAGTATCTGCTTCAGGTGGGTTAACTCGTTAGGGGGGAGTGAAATATTAAGTGCCAGTGACTTCTGGGGATTAACCTGAAGGCCAGAGAGCAAGCCAAACCTATCTAGTAGGCGGAGGAGGGTAGGTGTGGATGTAAAGGGGGAGGTGAGGAAAAGTAGGACTTCATCCGTAAATAGACAAATATGAAAGGTGCCTCCTATCTCAAGTCCATGGACATCTGGGTTGGCCCTAATCAATAGGGCCAGTGGTTCTATAGCTAGAGCGAAAAGCAGAGGGGACAGGGGACAGCCTTGTCTGGTGCCACGTAAGATTGGAAAATGAGCAGATCGGTGTCCTAAGTATTTGATTCTGGCCGAGGGTCCTTGGTAGAGGGAGAAGATCCAAGTTAAAAAATGAGGGCCAAAGCCCCATCTGTGCAGAATGTAGTGCAAGTATGGCC